CATGAAACAGATCAGCAGCAACATGACACAGATCAGCAGCAACATGACACAGATCAGCAGCCACATGAAACAGATCAGCAGCAACACGAAACAGATCAGCAGCAACATGAAACAGATCAGCAGCAACATGACACAGATCAGCAGCAACATGAAACTGATCAGCAGCAACATGAAACTGATCAGCAGCAACATGACTGATCAGCAGCAACATGAAACTGATCAGCAGCTACATGATGTGATTCTTCACAGTGTTATATATTCATAAGGCTGCACAAACTCAAGTTCATGTTGCTGTTTGACAAATTGTTTTGATTGTTTACTGCTATTAGTGCTTAGTGTTTTATTAGTAGATGTTTTTTAGTTGATATTTTTATTAATTCATATCTTCGATCTTATTACTGTTTTTCTTTTACATTTTGTTGTCTGTAACTGGGACCCTGTGTACATAATTTCATCCCAATTCAGTATTTATTCAACTTTTTTTTTTTACTTTAAAAATAAAATAAATCAAGTCCTTATCGGCACAAATAAAGTGATGTGGAACATGTTGCATCAGTTCTTACCGAGCACAGAAGCTGCTGCGTTGTGCTGCTCTGTGAGGTGCAGCTGGGCTGTGATGGAGCTCTGTCAGGTGCAGACTCCTCTGATGGAGCTCTGTCAGGTGTAGACTCCTCTGATAGAGCTCTGTCAGGTGCAGACTCCTCTGATGGAGCTCTGTCAGGTGTAGACTCCTCTGATGGAGCTCTGTCAGGTGTAGACTCCTCTGATGGAGCTCTGTCAGGTGCAGACTCCGCTGATGGAGCTCTGTCAGGTGTAGACTCCTCTGATGGAGCAGGAGCCGGGAGGCTTGGAGGGTTTAATGTGGAGTTTAGAGATGAACCGTCACGCGCTGAAATACGTTCTGGATAAAATACAGTGAGAAACAGGACCAGAGGACAGTTAGCGTTCATGCAAATTAGCTTAGCATCGTAGCACCGACGTTGTCCTATTATGATGTCAGCCTCTTTTGTTAGTTAAAAATATGTTCAGAACCGATGGGATGAGTAACTTAAAATATGTTTAAAGTTAGAAAACACTCACCATCTTCAATAAATGATTCAAGTAGAGCAGTGGCCGTGTCCAAACCACCCTCCAA